GTTAATATACTTTCGTTTTTATTGTTGTTTCTTTTTTTGCGTTGAGTTTTGTACATTTTTAATGGATTTGAAATCTGTGCTTATGGACTGGACTGTAACTTACAAATTACAGTGCGGCATCGATAACATTGAAGTGCAGATAACGAATTGAAGATACTTATTTAAGGGAGTGATTGGTAGACTACACTAGACTCCTGAGCTGCTCCTGCCGAGAGGCCTATACTCCCACAAACTCTCTCCTGAAATCTCACACCCCCCCCGGGTCTCTCTATCTCCCTCTCTCGCTATCACTCTCTCTGTGTTCGTGTGCATGGGAGAGTGCACTCGGCATGCACATGCGCAATTTGAAGTAACAAAGATTTTCAAGGTTAAAGTGCAACGAAACCGCAACACAATACTTTTACAGCTTTTACAGTAGAAGGGTTGACGGCTGCCACCACTGTGGGTGGTGTGGGTGGTGTGGGTGGTGTTTGCTTGTAATGGTTATAGATACATTTGTCTCGCTTTTGATTTTGAGCATAAAAAACATCTCTGCCCCCTGACTGACTGCCCTTCCTGCCTGCATGTGGCATACCTTTTGTCCATTGTCCTTGAAATGTGGATATTAATTTCAATGCACATTTGGTATGATTAGATAATCAGTTGGATACACCCACGGTGCCAGTGCCAGTGCCTGTGCCTTCCTCTTCCCATTCCCATTCCCATTCCCATTCCTCTCTCTGCTCTTCTCTACTTTACGCTTGCCATGCGGATGAATGCGGTGTAACACAGTGAGTGTTGTTTTTGTTGGGTTTTTGCATTCAATTCGCATGCACATTCTCGTCTTGTGACTCAAGGTTATGATGATGATGATGATGATGATGATCATAATGATGACGATGATGCTCTGCTCTGACTGCCGCCTCCCTCCTTCGTTCTGTTCCCATTCCGTTCCCTTTGAGCAAAAAAAAGCTCGCACAAATTATTATTACAGTAGACTGTGAAAGAGGCAAGGGAGAGGTAGAAGAACTGCAAGCGAGTGAGCAAGAGAGGGACAAACACACACAAACAAATAGCACACAATTTTATTTTATCAGCTGCCCCTCCCGTCATCCCCCGTCATCCCACGGCACTGCCCTCTCTCGCTCTCACACTGCGTTGGCAATTTTCGTTTCGTTTTTCGCTTTTCGTTTCGTTTTGCATGCACATAAAACTAAATGCGAATTCTTCCCCCTGCCACCACCCCCCTTTTGCACCTTCCTTCTTTTTGTGCACTGCTCCTCCGCCCTCGTATTTGACTTGTTCTACGTTTACACTTTACATTTCCGGGTTCTTTTCTGTCTATCTGTCTCTCTATCGCTCTCACTCTCTAACCGAGAGTGATTGATTGAGTGAATGAATGTCTGTAAAGTCATCTGCTTACAGAGATTCACTTATTTTCCGAATGTAAGTGAAACGAATCACAGAATGAGAGTTATTTGTGAAACAACTTTGAAAGGCATAGCAAATTTTTCTAGAAGTTGTCGGTTCCATAATTTTGAGGTACATAAGTATTCATGGGCACCTTAGAATCTTAGAATAACGAGGAACTCATCCAAAAATATACCTAAACAAAGTCTCACAGGCAATATTTAATAATACAATACAAATAATTGGTTCCGCAATTGATAGTTCGCAACGATTTGCTTCCTAGAAGCAACCATTTGCGATTATAAGCCATGAACAAATTGAATATAATCCAAGAACGTAGCAAACAGCATTACAGTTTCCTAGTTTGATAAACAAAAAGGATTATCATAGATAGGAACACAGTTTAAACAGGAAAATTGTATTTATGAGCAGTGCAAAAAGCCATAAAAACTATTTACATATGTATGAAAAAAACTACTAATTTAAATATGTAAATGTTTATGAGGGGAAACCTAATTAGTGCGCCACTTGCAAGTAAAATGGAACCCAGCAACTTAACTTATTAATAGAGCCCACTACTTGGCAACACTATTTATGAGCAGCCCAAACCCCTGGTTCATAGTAAATATTTACATTACACTTGAAGAAAAAACATCGTTAAATTTGTTTATTCATTGAAAGTACTTAGCAGCCGTACATTTATTTCCTAGTTGAACAGAAAGAGATGGCCATACGAGCGCACATTTAATTTATGACGGCAGTTATCAGTTACATATGTATTTAGCACATATGTATATGCGGTTAGTTCAGTGTTCACAGTTTGTCCTTGAATGCGATTCCAATCAGACCTCATTTGGGGTTCGGTTCGGTTCTGTTCGCTTTTGCAACGCTTCCCGCATTGCAATTTGATAAAGATCGTGCCTTCTCGTTGCGTTAGAACGGAGCATAGAAACGGCAGGGCGGAAGTTTTTTCCACTGTTAGAATTATTAGCAGTAGCAGTGCCAGTGGCAGAGAGAGAGAGAGAGAGATAAAGGGAAAACGGTCATTCAGGGCGTATGCGCAATGTGTAGAATCGCTTATCAAAAATGCAGTCGGGCAGCGGAGCGACGCTCGGGCGGTGCATGGGTCGTCGGCGTTCAAGTTGAATGTTGACAAATGCTCTTCTCCCTCTATCTCTCGCTTACATTTTTATGTTATTTATTTTTAATTTGACGCGACTAGTGCGCTCCCTCTCTGTCTCAGTCTATCTGCTCGCAAACGTATCTCTGGCCGAGTGTGTCCTTCAAATGCAATTGTGCGATGATTAGAAACGCAAAGCGAACTGCAATTTTTACTTTTTGTTTCTAATGCAGCGCCAGACTCGCATCAGTATCTGTGTATCCGTGCATCTGTATCTTTATATCTGTGTGTGTGTGTGTGTTCGTGCAGCTGTTTATTTTCATTTTCACAGCGATAGCGAAAAGCTTTTTGGCGCGCTATCTACCCCCACACACACACACACACACACACACATCTACCGAGACCCACTGCAATTGTTGATTCTAGTGAGCATTTTTGTTGATTTTTGTCGACTTCCTAGTGGGGCAAAACGCATCTGTAACTGCATCTGCGCCCCGCCCAGTGCAAAACCCTTTTGCCAGCAAAAGATCTCTGGTCTAAAATCGAAAGTTTCTCGAGACCAGCGTTCGATGATTCTTCCTCATCTTGTCTGCATATTTCATTCGCTTTGACGGCGCCAAATGGCAACTGGCAACTGGCAACTGGCAAGCGAACACAACCCCAACCCACACACAAAAGGTGCCACAGAGAAGAAAAAAAACACTTTCCGAATATCGTTTTCGCACATTTCCGCACTCGCCAGCTATTCGCAAGTGCAAGTGCAAGTCTATCAACAGAGCAGCACAGATACAGATGCACCACCACCACCACCCATGAGATTCCTCCCGTAGTTCTGTGGCAAAATGTTCTGTTTTGCATCCGTGTCGCCCATCGCTGATGAGCAGCGTTGGCCAATCGCCTGGGGCTCGGCTATGTTGCACCGCATTCTACGTGCGTACAGTTCTACGAGCGGACGGGATAAAGATACTGGGCTCCTCGCTTACACACTTGATCTGAACCGGGGGAGTCGCAACATATATATGGGAATTATATATATATACTTACTGGGAATATTTCTGGGTGAGTTTAACAACAATTTAAAGCACTGCCCCCCACGTAATCGAGTGACCATCAAGTGGGGCTTCCTGGTTATGTGATTACAACCCTACTTAATGGGAGGTAAAGCGATAACAGAGTTCCCAGATTAGATTCCCTGGAATTTCCTGGTAAATAAACATGGCTTTAGTGCACTCAATGATGCAGAGGGGCACTAACGGTTTCTTTTTTCTATATAGTTTGTTGTTTCTATGATTCAATCGAGAGAAATTTCAAGGTTTTATTAAATGTAATTTCCTGGTTTTTAAAAGCAGAAGGAGATCATTCTATCCATACAGAATAGCTTCTCTCGCCTCCCTATTTATTTTACATTATATAATTTGTGAGGTTCTTTTTCCTGGATATTTAATTCAGAACTGCGGTACCCCATGTTCAGGTTAGCGCCATGCAACAGTCTGAATGTCGTGCAACATTTGTTGGCCAGAAATAACTCTGAGGGAAGTGTCAGGGACAGGGGCAACAGCCTTGCACAATAAGTTCCTGGTTGCGCAGCTGAAGTGTTATAGAAATAAATAAAAGAGACATAACATTTTTGAATTATCGAAGAGACAGCAACCACCCAACCAACCCAATCACCGAATGTCGAACCATCCGACGACGAGCAACCACTAGCAGCAGCAGCGGCACAGCCACAGGCACAGGCACAGGGAGGAGAAAAGCAGAGCGAAAAAGCTTTTATTTGCAAAAACAACTTTCCGAGCGAGAGAATCTTTGAGATGCGTTCGCGTCGTCGTGTATTGCAGTTCGAGTGAGTGCAATATGCCGGCGTAGTCGCTGTCCGTGTGTGTGTGTGCAGTTTCTGCCTGCCTGCCCGCTAATGTGAGCTTTTTTGGGGTCTATGCCGGTTGTATGTGGGTCAGTAGTAGGAACAACTCTCGGTTGTCGGCGTCAACGTTTTCCCATAGTTCTCTTCTTAGCAAAAATACAAATAAAAAACAAACACAAAAAAAAAAAACAGGAAAAATAGAAGAGGAAAAAATCCAAACTAAATATTTGCCTGCAATTTATGTTCGTATTTTTTGCGTTCTTCTGGTTGTTGTTCGTTTGCCATTAATTTCCGTGTTGCTGTTGCATTTCCCGTGAGCGTTTTGCATTTATTTTGTTGGCAAAGAAGGAATTGAATGTGGCGTTGCAAATGCGAGAAATGCTTGGAGCACGCAGGATAATAGCCATAGATTATACGCCCTCAAAGGAGAGGGAAAGGGCAGCAGCAGCAGCAGCAGCAGCAGCTGCGGCAGCGGTGGCGTCCACACGGCGTATGCGTAACGAGAGAGCGACAGACCGAAAAAAAACCGAAAGTGACGCGTAATTTACGGGTCCAACACATAAAAATCAAACTTAAAACTGGATCAATGTGAGAGAATGCAGCAATAAAAAGCAACAAAAAAAAACACCTTTCAATTAGCAGCCAAATAATAATGAAAACAAATCAAGAAATGGATGAAAAAAATAATTAAGAGAAAAATATACAAAAAACGAGAGTACAAAATAGCAGCAACAACAATGGCAGCCAAATGAGGAAAATCACTTTAAGTGAGTGTCGTTTGCAAAGAATTTTCCATATAATTTGCTAAAGAATTTGCTAAAAACCAAAGAGAAGGAGGTGAAGGTAGAGGGGGTGGTTAAGATTTGCCCCTGAACGTGAACGTGTAACCTCCATTAAGGCCGTAATCTTGAACTGTGCAAACAGCGCACACCATTCCACAACCCCCTCTTTCACCCCCTTTTGGGGGCCCTACGATTCGCCACTCGCTGAACGGCATTAGCTTTTGCATTTTGTACCGATAACACAGCCCGAATGCAACGCTGTAAAAATGGGTGAGAGAATTTTGAGTGTAAAAAGCTTTCACGATGGTTGCCGGTGCCTCTCGAAAGGTAGCACAAACTATTAATAGCGGGAAATCACAAATCATTCCACTGCGAGTCCAACTAAATGATTGTTCCTTTTCTTTCCCTTTGCAGATCAAGTAAAACTATCAGGATAAGCAGCCACACTACACACACACACACACACACACAACCACTGGACCATCTATTAGATATCCTTAAAAAAAAGGAGAGCAACAAATTTTAGCTGTAGTCAAAATGCATGGACATCATCACAATCATCAGCAGCAGCAGCAACAGCAGCAGCAGCAGCAGCAGCTACACCAACAGACAGGAGCTGCAGCTGCCAACAATATGAAGGCAGCGTCACATCATCATCATTCTCATGTGCATACCCATCCACATCCGCATCACAAACTGTCGACGAGAAGAGCTGCGCGCAGTCGCAGTCGTAGTCGGAGTCCAACGCCCGATGGCAGCCAGGATTACGATGTGACGCGTATGCGGGAGGAGGACTTTGAGCGTCTGGCCGTCTACCTAGTGCCGGATGTGCAGGCGGAGCGGGGACTGCCCAATCGGGCGGACAAGACGCTGCCGCGGAGTCTGACACTCAAGTCATCGATGGTCTACTCAACGCCAAATGTTAAGGTACGGCAAAGAGGGAACTTACATTGGAGGAGCATAAAAACTAACCTTTCATTTGGCTTCTCTTTCGTTTTTTTGCAGACTGAAGGAGTTTGGAGCAGTGGGGTCATACCACGCGGCACACGCTTTGGCCCCTTCGAAGGCATTCCAACCTCAAACTATCCCAATGATAAAAATAAGGCGAGATATTTTTGGAGGGTAAGCATCACAGACACACTATTTTTCTTTGGTTTTGGTTTTTGAGTTGCATTTTCTGCAATGGGTTTTCTCCCCCCTTTAACTATCAATACATATGCTTTAACCCACCAGCCCACACACCCCTCTCAACCACCACCAAAATGAACAATTTCCCATACAATCCATCGAATCAAATATGCGACTAACCAAAACATTTCGTTTCTCTTTAATTTACTTTTATTTCATATGCAAAAACATTACCCAAAAAACAAAAAAATTAAATCTAAATTAATTTTTTTTGGACAAAATTTGATTTGTGGTTCAGGTGCAGGGAACACGCCACATATCCTATGGGATTATTAAGGTACAACCAATCATGATTTATGCTTTTATTTGATTTCTTTCTTACCCCCTAACAATCAACATCCAACGAGCACTTTCTATTTCTAACTAACACGATCCAAGAGTCAACCAAGATCTATCCTCTGCCTGCACTCTTTCTCTCTCTCTCTCTCTCTCTCTGTCTGTATTACTCTTTGTGTGTCACTCTCGTTTTGTAGTTTTTATACTCTGTGTGTTCCGAGTGTTCTCTTGCTCTCCATTTGCTAACCGCTTGCTTCTCTTTCTCTATTCTTTGTGGCTCTGTAGATCTTCAAGGACGATGACTATTACTATCTGGATGGCTCGGATCGTTCGCAGTCCAATTGGATGCGCTATGTGGCCTCTGCGTATAGTTTGTCCGTCATGAATCTGGTAGCGTGCCAGCATCAGGAGAACATTTACTTCTACACCACCCGCGACATCCTGCCGAACGAGGAGCTGATGGTCTGGTACTGCAAGGACTTTGCCAGTCGCCTCGGCTACGATGTGGATCCGGAGCGGACCATTTTTGGTGCCTGCAAGCAGTCCAGCGTCGAGGAGGAACTCGAGGAGGATGCGGAGGAGGTGCTGGAGGACCAGAACGAGGACCACGATCACGCTCACGCTCACGATGTGATGCCGCCGCACAAGAAACCGCACTACTCCATGCCCGCCCCCGAAATACCCGCCGAGGTGGCCGTCAGCCACATCACCTATGTGATGGGTCTGCATCTGCCGGCAGCGCCAGGAGCACCAACGGGAGCAGCCACCGCACAGGAAACTCTGCCGCCTGCCCCAACGCCAAGTGGTACGGGTCCTAATTCTGGGTCCTGCTGTCGTCGCGCCAGTCCGCCCGCCCACGTGTCCACCACGTCATGTGGCGGCGCCCATCATCCGCACATCATTCAGCACGGACGTCATGCATCCGTGATCATTGGCCAGGATCGTTCTCCGCTGGCCAGCAGCAGCGACAAGGACACCGCGGGCTCGCCTCTGTCTGGGTTGGACCACCAGCTGGTGCCGCAGGATGGCAGCGTGCGATCGGTGCGCTCCGATGAGGGTTACCACAGCAACGAGTGCCACGAGGATGGCCTCACGCCACCCGAGGACTCCAGCGACAGCGAGAGCGAGCACAACTACGTGCTCGACTGCTCCAAGAAGGCAATTGCGCCCAAGGAGACGGTGATTGCCCAGGCCCAGAAGCCGCAGAGCAGCTCTCCGCCCACGGTGGGCGTCACTGCCAGCATCATTCACAGTCCGCAGGCCATGGCCAGCATGGCTGCGACGCCCATGTCCTGCGAGGCGGACAAGAACGAGTACAGGAAGTTCAAGGTGAAGATGCCGCTGAAGTACGAGTTCAAGAACAAAAGCTGCGTCAAGCAGGAGCCCATCCACAAGGATGTGGACGAGCAGATGTCGCATGCCCTGCCGCATGGCGTGGACGAGGAGGAGGAGCTGCACGCACATCTCCACGCGAATGTGGCACACCCGGAGGACGCGGCCTGCCCGCCCAGCACCACCACCCACCACCTGGGGGATGAGCATTTGATGCATTTGGAGAGGGAGCGCGAGAGGGACAGGGAAAGGGAAAGGGAAAGGGAGCGAGAGCGGGACAGAGAGCAATCCAATCAGCAACCCGCCTCCTCCACGGTGATCGTTCTCGAGCACAACTCTGACGGACAGACGCGCACGATTGTGCCCCTGAGCAAACCCTACTACGAGGCAGATCCACCAGGAGAGCGTTATGTGCGCTTCGGGCAGCCCTCCTCCAGCATACTCGAGACGATACTGACGAGCCAGCACCGGCTGGAGGCGGCTGCTGCAGCGGCCAATGCCTGTCGGCAGGCGAACGCTGCCACACCGCCACCCACATCGCCCACAGAGATGGCCTACAGCTACAAGAAGTCGCAGCGATACGGCAACGCAGTGAGTCCGGACTCCAGCTCGAATCTGGGACAGCCGCAGGAGCAGCTCTCTGCCGCTGGAGTGGGTGTGGGTGTGGGTGTGGGTGTGGGCGAGCAGGAGCTGGTGCAGCGGGTGGCCCTCATCAAGGGCGAGTGCTCGCCGCCGCCGCCTTCGCATCATCACCACAACGTGATCTTCTCGCCCTCGCGACACGTCTCGTACATGGGTCAGGGAGAGGGTGGCGGCGGTCACGGCGGCCACTCGCCGAGTCCCAGCTATCCGGGGTATCCCCATCATTATGGGAGTGCGGCCACCTCCACCTTCCACTCGCCGCCACACAGCTCCCATTCTCCCTTCGATCGTCAGTCGAACGCGTCGAGCGGCGGAGGATCTGCCTCGAATTTGCATCTGCTGCAGAGCAGCACACAGATGCTGAACCATCCGCTGATGCAGCCACTGACCCCGCTGCAGCGTCTCTCCCCGCTGCGCATCTCCCCGCCCAGCAGCCTCAGTCCCGATGGCAACTCCTGTCCGCGCAGCGGCTCCCCCCTGAGTCCCAACTCCCTGGCCTCGCGCGGCTACCGCTCGCTGCCGTATCCCCTGAAGAAGAAGGACGGCAAAATGCACTACGAGTGCAATGTGTGCTGCAAGACCTTTGGCCAGCTGAGCAACCTGAAGGTGCATCTGCGCACCCATTCGGGTGAGCGGCCGTTCAAGTGCAACGTCTGCACGAAGAGCTTCACCCAGCTGGCGCACCTGCAGAAGCATCATCTGGTGCACACGGGCGAGAAGCCGCATCAGTGTGACATCTGCAAGAAACGCTTCTCGAGCACCTCCAACCTGAAGACCCATCTGCGGCTACACAGCGGCCAGAAGCCCTACGCCTGCGATCTCTGTCCGCAGAAGTTTACGCAATTTGTGCATCTGAAGCTGCACAAGCGGCTGCACACCAACGATCGCCCGTATGTGTGCCAGGGCTGTGACAAGAAGTACATCAGTGCCTCGGGGCTGCGCACCCACTGGAAGACGACCAGCTGCAAGCCCAACAATCTGGAGGAGGAGCTGGCCATGGCAGCGGCAGCCACATCCGAGTGTTTGGGTAAGTTTTGCTGAAGAGGAAACCTTAAGGGAGCTCTCTCTAATATTAATTTATTCTGCAGACAAGGATCACCCTGAGCCGGATAGCCGTGAGGCTTACGAGCAGCTGCAGCAGCATATGGTACATCCCGGTCTGAGGCACTCTCCACCTCGTCTCATTCCGTTGGGTAATCACATGCAGGGAGCCGGACAGCATCAGCAGCAGCCACCACCGCCGCCGCACATGATGCTGGGTCCAGCACCAATGCTGTTGACCACGGCCAGCCAGCTGCCACCACCGCCGCCACATCATCTGCAGCAGCAGCAGCAGCAGGGATCTCCCAGTCAACGTCCGACGCCTCCACACCTGCATCAGCATCCGCATCCGCACTCACATCCACATCCACATCCGCAACAGCAACACTCGCCGCAGGGCGGCAGCCTTAAAGGATTGAAGCCGCTGCCCGACAACGGCGGAGTCTACATGCATGCGCCCCATGTGCAGGCCCAAGAGAACCGACCCTCGGTCATAGAGTCCTCGAATCAGCCCATGATCATTGAGTGCACGTAGGGTGGGAGGGAAGATCTACCCCAAAGGGGGTGGAGAGGAGAAGTGATGGAATCCAAGTGCAATAAAATCAAATAGAGTTTAAGAGCATCCCCCACAACTGACAGAACATAAAGCGACAGAGCAGCACAATGTAAACGTAATGGTATTATTATATAAGTTGTATATAGAACCCCCCCGCCCCTTCCCTCTGCCCCTTTCCCGACCTAAAAATTGAAAATTGAAAACTCAAAACTCATTTCGCGCTATGAACACCAGATCTCACCAATTGGCAAAGAAAAGTAAAACAAATCGTGTAGTTGTCCTTCCCTTCCCCATGAATTCTTCTCCCTCTCAGAGAGCTAAAGGCATATTATTTTTGATAAATATTTTATATACACCACAAGGAAAACAACACACACCACAATATATACATACATCTAATTGGATTGTTGTTAATCGAGAGAATAAAATGGAGCTAAAGAAAGATCGGTCCCAGACAGAAAAAAGGAAGAGCTAAAATACTTTGAATGAGAAAATGCATTTACAGAATTGTACTTTTTCCATTTGATTTTCCCATTGTTTAACTCTCTGTTTTCGATTGTTTGTTGAGGCGCGCACCTTAAACGATAAATCCATATGCTAAATAGCTCATTAAACGTACATATACCAGTTAGATATAGATGCATAACCGTACATACATACATACATACATATACATAAAACATACACATAGATTCAAGTTGCCTTATTTGAATTTCGTTAGCACTGAAAAAAAGGAGAAACCATTCAGAACAGATCTGAGAAAGCTTAAAAATATATATATACGTATTTTATATATGAATATATCATTATTAAATATATAAATATATTTATATGTATTTTATTAAATATACAAAACAGCAAAACAGAAAGAAATGCAACAAAAAAGTGTACATAGAAGGAATGAACCTTAATTTCGGAGATCTGTTAAATAAGTAAAAGCCTACAATTACTTAGACCGCTAGGGGATTTAACCATTTATCCATTATCATTATCATTATTATGATTATATAAAGAACAAAAACAAAACAAAAAAAAAACAAAGAAAAAAATATGAAAACTTAGCTGAAAAATCGGTGCTTTTGACTGTTTCCATTTGTCCACACTTACATTTACATTCACTGTATTGTATTTGTATTTTGAAACACACACATGAATTATATATTGTAGACCACATTAAATATATATGCATAAACCCATAAATATATATATATAAACCATACACTATATATACACACATTATTAGTATACAAGAAAAACATTTAGAGATATTTCCCGTCACCCTACTTTGCGCCTTAAACATTCTCCACTTTCTTCCAAAATCTCCCCTTAAAATGGAAAGTGAAAAAAACAAATTCCAAAAATTTGCTCGTATTAATTACACCTTCAATTAGTCTTCGTTTTTTGTCTGAATGAAATCTTTAGCTAATCTAAGCTTATAATATTAATGAGGCTGACTAGCATTAAGTATATTATTACATCTAGATTAACTATAACTTAACGTAGTGGCTAAGCAACTGTACATAAACGAGCTGAACCCAAGCTTCGATCTGTAAGGAAAGACACCAATTCGTAGGAAATAAGTATTTCTATTGTAAAGAGTACCACAAAGTACGTGGTACGTTTTGGGGGTACGTTTATGGGGCTATGTATGGGGGAGATGTTTGCGGATTCATTCGCGAATTTGAGACTAAGACTATGCAAAAGTTTTTTGTATTTTTGTATTTGATACAGAAGGAAGAAGAACGTTTTGGCAGAGAGTTAGAAGAGGAGAAGGATGTTCTAGCAGTATAAGTATAGCCCATAAGTCTATCTATAACATTTCTAAGCATATACATAAACGCATACATATATTTCTAAACTGAAAACTGAAAAGAACACGGAAAATATGAGAAGAGCCTACATACATGGAAAATATAAAAGAAGATAATCAAAATTATACAAACAAAAAAAAAAGCAAAAAACAAAATTGATTTTTTATTTCTACTTTGGTTTTTCATTTCTTCTAACATTATCGTTGCTGGTTGTGCAATCATTTAAACCATTTTGTGCAATATTCATCCAGAAACTTCATCGTATTTGTTACAGAAAATAAACGACAATTTTTTGTTCAATTACTTTCTGTTTTATTTTACAGAAGAAAGTAGTTCTTGAACGTAATAAGAGACGATACATAATACTTTCCTATTTGTGAGACTGAATCAATTACTATATATACAAGAAATACTCTTTAAACATATAAACAACCGACAGGACCCCCCAGGACATTTCGATAGATATATATACTTTAGCGAACCTTTTGTTTGATCAAGCATTGTAAAAATATAACGAACGATATGATATATATATATATATATTTATATACGAGGCACGCATATACATATACATAAACGTAGACGTAGACAAATACATATATACATACATATACGTATGTAGTATGTATAAATTATATAGAGAACCCATGGCCTATGGTTTAAGCGCCCAAAACTTTGTACAGTAATTGAAATCTGTTTCAGGATTCAAGAAAAACAAAAACGTGACGACACAACGTAAATTTAAATGGAGAATAAATGACTGCTTCTTAGTGTTATAAGTGACTCTGATTTAGGTCGAATACACACTCACACTCATACACCCACACACTCACTCACACACACATACACAAATGATTCAATGATTCAATTCTAGAAATCGAAATCCAAATATATATTCCATTATATATTCAATAAGTCTATCGTATACCTTTATTGCAAATCAATATTTCAATATTGTATCTATATAATTACAAATTATCTATTATTCAGCCCCTCTCTATCCATATTGATCGTGTAGATCCTTTGTTATATGTTCTATATTATAAATCCTTCCCTCTATCTTACCCCATTGGAAACATCCACACACAAAAATGTACAAAATTGGTTCTCAATTAAAAGAAAATTAAAAACTAAAAGGTGGAATTTCCAAAAACAAAATAAGTAAACAGCCCCTAGAAGAAATTGCAAATTAATTTTATATTCGAGATGAAGATTGATGAAGATTAGTTTCCTGTTACAAGCCCCTCGTCTGGGAAATGTTGATTTAAAAGAGCCTCAAGATATACACTTCTATACATGTATTTGTGTATCAATCACCTCTAATACCACAATAAAACGAAATAATTGACTATATGCATAATTATACGCCGAATATACGCTGCGCATCATCTAAAAAAAAAACGCAAAATGCAAAAAAAGCGAATGAATTATCTAATTATTTGAATGCAACTTAAATTCCTATTAATTATATAAAATATCTCTATAAAATATCGCTAAAGAATCACAATTAATAAAAAAAAAAGAATGAATAAATAATAATAAAACAAAAAACAAAACATTTCATACTAAAAAAAAAACAATCTTTTAGAATTTCCTTTACTAGCATAAGAGTTACGTCTTTGGGGATACCATAAATCAGTGGCATACTTTTAGGAGTGTTTTTTCTTTAGACGAAATATCTACAACCGTTTTCTTACTTCTGTTTTCGTTGCAGCTGCGATCTGTGAACGATGAACAAAGCTAGAGGGATAGATATGTAAAGGTAAGTCAAGGGAATTTAAATATCAATCGGTAAATACAATTTTTGAGATATTTTTTTGGTTAGCGAACAATCTAAAGATCTATCTTTGAACTAAGAGTAAAACAGAGGAAACTCCTCGCTTGACTTGTGGCACGCCGTAAATGTCTTTTAGGTTCTCCTAATCTCTCTTTTGTTGCCACAAAAACTCTATCCTTCCGCCTGATGAAATCTGTAAAAAATAACTAAAGTTGGCAAAATATTTAGCAACTGCAATGAGAACTCGCATTTACCCATAGATTCAATATCGCTCTCTCGCTTTTTTCGAACAGAGCTTATCCGGGCTAAAGGACCTCTCTTTGACGCTGTCGCTGCAAATAGAAACATCAATCACATGTCAATCAATGATGAAAGTAGGGCACTTGAATGGTTATGCCGACATGTCAAACCCCCTCCTTTCTTTTCCCCGTTGGAACATGCAAATTGTGTTTCGTTTTATGGATAAAAAAAAGAAAAGTTTTTGCAACAAAAAAACTGTGCCCTGATTATCGCTGGGAAAAAGTATGTAAAGGGAGGGGAGATGAGGTGCCATGTTAGGTCAAACGCGTGCTGTGCAAATCTGCAACATGGATATGCAGCCACCCTCTTCGCTTTCGCCCCCCTCCACCCTCTCATTATGAGCGCACTTTCATTTATGTGATTTTGCATAGAATTTGGGTACGAATTTTCCACATTTTCCATGCCCAAAAACCTTTTGATTACTGTTTGGCAACGTTTTCCATTTAAAGCGGATTATTTTCATGGCCATTGTGTGTTGTTCTTGCTCCCCGACTGCCTGCTGACTGGTGCCCGTTGCCCGTTGCCCGTTGCCCGCTGCCTGTCCGGAAATGCTTCTAGCCGATCCTCGGACCCTACTCGGACAATGCTCTTCTGTGTTTGGCTTGCGGCACTTCCCCAACTTCTGATGCATTCATTCTGCTGCCCTGGCCTTGTTAATCCTGTTCCAATTATGCGCATGTGAGTGGCTCTGCTGCCATCCCTAATGGGTACTTTCGCTCTCGTTGCAAGAGCCTTTGTCCGTGCCGGCATTGAAAACCACTGGCCGGCCGGCCACTGGACCCAAAGATTGAACCACAGCATGGAACGGGATGTGCATGTGAATGTGGCAGTGGCAAAATATTGATTACAGACTGTGCAACGGCTTGTTCCGCTTTTTGTTTGGGTTCTTTTTGTCATGTATTTATCGCTGATCAAAAATTGAACTGACCCTCAGTGACCCCTCTCTGTTGTATGTTGAATAGGTAGTGGGTCTAAATGTGTTTTATTGTTTGGAGACCTAACATTGACATGAGTAAAGGTTGGTATTTTCCTTATAAATGGAACTTTAGGTGTGTTAAATGAAAGCTGCAGCTCGAGCTTTAGTTATAAATTGTTCTGAAAGTTGTGCTTCTAAATGAAATTCATTTCGAGTTAGATTTATATACATATGTATCATATAGTGAGAGTCTCCCTATTGATCTAGGCTAGATATATTCAACATTTGATTGCCATCATTCCCATGACGATAACTAAAGAAAATCGACACAAATTGCCATTTCCAGTTTTTAGTTTTGAGCAGCAAAAAATGTTCTAATAATTCTTGGAGCTAATTTAAATAATAATTGCAAATTTAAATCATTATAAATCATAACTAAATAATATTTCCACATTAAAGTTAATGATTCGGTTGAAAAATCACCTTTTCTAGAGCCACAATCATTTCCAAAATGTATGCATAAATTTGACTGAAATTTCAGCTAAGTTTTTGTGTCATTCATAAACCGATGGATGGTTGGGGTGTTCCAGGCGGCACCTCCCTTACAATGTGCACATAGTAAATGTGTGTGCGTGTGTTCTGGTTCACAATACAGTTTCCGCCCTCTTGGGCCTCCGCTGTCATCAATGGCATTGGTCATCGATTCGGTGCGGCATGCCAGCGCCACGAGGCACGTGTCGCAATAAATTGCATGCATAACACACAGTTGACGGCAAGGGGCAGGGACACACAGGCATTCTGAATTCGCAAAAATGTTGCACATTGCAAGGGCCCTTTGGGGGTGAGCCTCTGGTGGTGGAAATGCAACCGAATCCCTTACAGCTGGCTGGCTGCCTGACTGACTGACTGACACGCGCCGGGAACCATACGAGGGTTGTGCAGTTTTTTAATGCAATTTTTCACCAATCAGAAGCTGTTTTTTATGAAAATCCTCGAGGGTTTGGGGGCATATAGCGTGAGCCTATCAAAAGCGTGCTAAAAAAGATCCTCAAGTCAGCGCTTGATCTACGCACTTATACGCCAAGTGTATTAAGTCATAGATACAAACGCATACATCTATCTCTCTCTTGGCACTCATTATCTCTTATACTCGCAGTGGCGCTCTCGCTCGGTAGAGTAAGAGTATCTGTCAGATACATTTGCTTACGTTTGCTTACGTGCCCTGCCCGTATGCTCAATCCGACTCGACTCGACTCGACTCGATGTTTTTCCTCGCTCACAGTCACACACACACACACACACACACACACTCATAAAGATACAGCCTAAACATTTTTCGGGCCCTACGGCAGCATTGGCAGCGACAGCGACAGCGACAGAGGCAGCGACGTCAACGTCGACGCGACCTTCCTAGAAATAGTCGAAAGGCAACGCGGAGTCAGTGTGACGAAGTGCGTCGTGCGCAGCGGCAGCGTTTGTGTGTCCCCCCCTTGGAAAATATTTACACGCAGCATTAAACGAAGAAGAAAACTCGTGTAACTGTGCATGTGTGCGTGCTCGGTAAAAGATACAGATACAGCTACAGCTACAGCTACCTCGTAAAACTGTATCTGCAGTGGAAAAAACATGCATTTCAAGTGAACATTTCAAGAGTCTAATTAACAAACGTAAAACCCATAAAAAGCAAAGGAAAAACCCCAAGAAATAACTGCGGAAAAATGGAAAATATTCAAGTGCCAGAGGAGCAGCAACCCGATGCAGGAGGAGACATCAGCAGCAACAGCTCCACAATATCATCCCAGCAGCCGCCAGGTCTGTGCCCCCAACTTTTCAGAATGTTGTTTTTTTTGACGCCATGCTGGCCATGCCACCTACCCAACCTACCACCCCCTTCCCAACCAAACTAGTTTCATTGTTGTTGCGTGCGTGCGTGTGTGTGTGTGTGTGTGCGTGTGTCTGTCTGTTTTCGTTGTTTTTTTTATAGATGTTTCCAAAATAAAACCAAAGCCAAAATTCAATACGAAATCTTATCAAACGCCACGCTGATTGGCCATGATCGCACGCTCTCACTCTCCCACTCGCAGCGCACTCTCTCTCTGCTATACTCTCCTCTCTTTTGCTTTTTTTATGTACTGCGCAGTTTCTTTATTCGTCAATTCGTGTTTTTACGTTTTTGTTGTGTTTTTGCCATTCGCGGATTTCGATTTTTTATTGGCAAATGCGGAAATTCTATGTGTGCACGGGTGGAAAGTGTCATTCAACCCCGTCCTCTGCAGATCGAACATTGACCGACTTTTGCCACAGCAACACCCCTCTCGGGGCAGGCCAGCACAGCACTAACCTCCCCAGTTATCCTGCAGGCTTAGCTCCATATGCTTGACTGAACTGAAAGGATAAATGTGTAGATCTACTCTGAAGATAGAGATCTGCTCTCGCTGTGCATAGATTTCTTTAGATTTATTTCCAAAAACCAGTTTGCGCCTATAAGAAAGGGTCGAGGAAAGAGCAACACATAAAACTGGGGGCAAACCAAAGGATATGCACCATTATGGTGGTGGTTTTCCAATTATTTCTCAACGATTTCTTATCAGAGGCCAAAGAATTTCCATTAACCAAAGAATTCCATTCAAATGTTGAGTGGAAAATCTCACAAGAAAAGCCAACAACAACCCCAGAGAGTGAGAGAGAGAGGGCGAGAGAGAGTGCATGAGAATGCGTATCTGTATCTATAGAATGTGGCCCCCGTCCCTATACCTATCCAGCAGATAAGCAACACACAACACACAACACACGAGAAATGGGAACAAGCGAAGTAAATACCATTTATGAATGAATGAATGAACTCAAATGAATGAGACTCTCTGCGTGTGTGTGCGAGTGCGAGTGAGATGAGGGCATGTCTTAGATAATGAAATGAAACTGCCGCTGTCGCTTCCAAAAAATATTTCTAACGAAACCTGTTTTGTGTGTGTTAGATCTAAGCTGAACTTGCCTCGCGGCAAATGGGGCAAGGACACACACAAACACACAGGAACTGCCAAGTTCTTCAGCTGCCTTTGCTGCTTGGTGTGGCTCATTTGAATAACAAAAAGCTCTCCTTGCAAAGGATTCCCAGACAGGATATCGAATGCGCGACTAAAGAACTCAAGTTCCCTTTTTTCCTATGTATAATATATTTACGTTCCCTTCTCAATTTCTCTATATATTTTTAGCGAATCCTGGCGAGGAATGCGGCTGTGTGCGTTTGGGCAAATGCAAATGGTTCAATGTGGCCAAGGGCTGGGGCTTCCTCACGCCCAACGATGGTGGCCAGGAGGTCTTTGTGCATCAGGTGGGTGCAATCAGTAACTGCAACCCACACATAGCCATGTCTAACTCTCTCTCTCTATCTCTCTCTCTCTCTTGTTCGCAGAGTGTCATAAAGATGTCTGGATTTCGTTCGCTTGGTGAGCAGGAGGAGGTGGAGTTTGAGTGCCATCGCACAGCCCGCGGATTGGAGGCCACACGGGTATCGGGTCGTTCGGGTGACGAGTGCCATGGCAGCACCTATAGACCACGCATGTAGGCCATAAATGTTGCCATAATCCACACACCATAATCACATCTCTCTATCGTTTCGCTCTAGCAATCGTCGAACCCGCCGCATGCGCTGCTATAATTGCGGTGAATTCGCCAATCATATTGCCTCCGAGTGTGCTCTGGGGCCGCAGCCGAAGCGCTGTCATCGGTGTCGCGGCGAAGACCATCTGCATGCCGATTGCCCCAATCGCAATGTGGTGAGTCCTGACCCAAAAGTGACTAAAGCTCACGACCCATCCACAACTCTTCTGTCGCAGACACAAACCAGCGGCAAAAGCCTGCAGGATGCGGTGGAGCCTGCTCCCGAAGGGTGAGAGCTAGAGCTAGGGGCTGGTAGAGGGTGTTACAGGAAGTTACAAACTTCTTACGAAGAGTACAAAACAGTGAGCGAGGAACGGCAAGGAAAGGAAATGAGAAAAACGCATTAAATCAAAGAAAGAAATCAACGTACAACAACATAAAAAACAAACACACAAAAAACACAAAGAATTATCTACACGTAAAGTGCAGTTTAATTTTTTGTCGTATGCGAATTTAGATATTATCTAGGAAACGGGGTTAGGAATCCTTCCCCTAATCCTTTAACCTAAAACCTAATCCTAAACGTAACTGTATCTACCTCTAATTATCCTTTAAGCTGTTAGTTTTTTAAGGTTTTCAATTAAACGAATTTTAGAGCTACAGAGAGAGGGTATTACCTTGGTCTACTCTGCCATTTCCACTCTATTTTGTATGTTTATTTAGCAACCCCAAAAGCTTCGCGTATGCGGGGCTGGCTGTGATAACAAAGCTCTCTCTCTTTCTCTCGCAGGATTCATTGTCACGTGGACGGGCGATAACATTGAAGCTTTTCCGGCAGCAACAAAATCTCCATGAAAACGCAGAATCATTGTAAGTCCTCAGCCCCATTCCCTCTCTCGTTCTCTCTCTATCTCACTGAAAGTGAAACATGGACAGGAAGGGAGAGCGGAGCAACAACAAAAAGATTAGGCGAGGGCATGGGCAGGGACACGCACGCGAGAGGTGAAAGTTTTGTTTTTTCTCTCTCCCTGAAGCTCTCGCTCTTTCTCTCGCCCTTTGGCTGTTTTTGTTGAGGTTTGAACGTAGTTGTTGTTGCTGCCGCAAAAACATTTTGCAACATTGTTGGGCAGCGCGTCCTTCGCTGGCAGCAGCAGAGGCGGAAGCCAGGACCCATCCCCCCACCGAAAAAGGATGCAACTGCTTGTGCGAAGGCTCTGGGATTTTTGTGGCCCAGTCTCAGTTGATCTCTGGCCGAGAATTGTTGTGTGCAACGCGGCGGATAAAATTATATATACAAAAATATATATATATTTAAATATATACAAAAAACAGGAGCAGCAAGCAAAGCTGCTGCTGCTGCAAAAAAAAAAAAAAAAACAAAATACGACTAAAAACAAACAATAACTTCGACAACTAAAAGAATTTCAACAAAAGTTAACAAAGCGTTTCAGCAACAAATTTTCAAACGAAACAAAAATAATTAAAATCACCCAAAAAAATAGATGAAAAACAATTTGTAACATTTTTTTTGCATATAAAAATGAGCTAAAATGCTAGAAAAAACGGAAAACGAAGAGGAAATCATCATAAAAATGGAAAACTAAAAAAGGAAATCTGCAGACAAAAAACCCAAAGAGTTCAAGGTTAAAAATCAGACAAAAGAAAACGATTTGGATTATGACTTAGTAATTGTTTTAAGAGCAAACAAGCCACTAAAATGCAATGAAAAGAACAATAACAATAGCTAAGAAAAGCAGGAAAAACACACACACACAGAGAGAGAGGAAGTGGCAAAGAGAGAGGAAATAAAAAGGGAAATAGCATCGCATCTAAACAATAACAAAAGCAACGTCAACCGTCATCGCATATTCATTTGGGGCATGCCACACAATCAAGCAAAGGGACACACACACACACACACGCAAAGACAAGCGCAGAGAGTTTACAACAAGATTTACATTGGGGGAGCGCCTGTTATGTAATATCCTCCTTCTGACGCTGTCTCCTGTCATGTTACAAGTTCTCGCATTCTCTCTCCCTCGCAATCTCTATCCTGTAGTGGGAGGTGTGGCATGCACCTGGTCTCCCGCTGCTAATTTGATTTAACACACACACACACAGACACACAGCCACACACATAAATCGGGACACGCTGCATGGGCACGGCATTGAGACATTAACATGAAGGACACTCCACTCCACTCCACTCCATCCCAAGTCCAACCATCCATAGATGTTGTAGTAGTAAGCCCCATAAATAGGGGCACGGCACACGGCCTGTGCTGTGTGGCATTGGTGGAGGAATGGAATGAAATGAAATGGAATGGAATGGAATGTTGTGTGGCATGCAAATCGGGGCCACACAAAAATTATTACGCATACTCCGCATATTCGATGAGCAATGATTTGCAGGCAAATCTATTTATGAGTTTGAAGAAGAGATTCCCTTTTATTTTTCTAGGGATTGGGGATGGGCTGTGGCTGGCACTGGGGCTGGGCCTAATTAACGAATGTGTGTCATAATGCGACAAGCGTTAGTAGGTCAAGTAGATTCGATGCTGTGGAGGTTGAGGGCGAAACTCTTTCGCCTGAAAGAAAGCTCTTTGCCAAAAGGGCAACACGAGGCAAACGAGTACGACGAGGACACGGACGAGGTGCAATGCGATGAGCAGAGATGACTCGCACACGAGTGCGAATTGAGTAAATAAATAGATGGGCGTTTCAGTAGCTTTGGTGGCTCTTCCCTTGGCTTGGGTGTGGGCAAATCTTTTCGCATATTCTCAATGTTTTTTTTAAATCAAATCTCAATGTTCCACGTCGTTAAACTATCTTTCTGTTTTATGCACAACTCACTTTCACTTAACATTCGTTTTGAATAATACTTTTACTCCTGCACAGGCATACGATTCACACTCCTGTCTCTGTCTCTCTGGCATGGAAATCAATTTTTAAAACTAAACAAAGCTACATCTCTAAACGGTTTAAAGTTCCAACAAACTAAAAACTCAATGTACAAAGCCTAAACAAAGTCTAACAAAACTTTAACTCAAAAGCAAAACATAAATTTCAAGTGCTTAAAATCCAACACATAATTCGAGCAGGAAACACTCGCCAAAAGAGGTAAGAATTTCATTTAATGATTTTAAATGTTTATGTACTTGATTTATTCCTACAATCTCTGAGTGTGTCTTATAACTATAAATAATGTTTTAGCACCCTCTGAAGTAGTGGCTTAAGCAACGATTACGAGTACGATTACAATTACAATTCTTTCTCTTGACTTAATTTTAGTTTTCGATATTTTTCCTAGTTGATTGCCACACAAATTTTGAGGTAGGGTTTAGAAGGGCATCTGCTCCACGTCTAGATTCCAGGCGGGCAAACCCCTACACACATAAATGCAGCAATTGTAGACTGTTGGCTCGACCTTGCCCTGCTGCACCAGGGACAGAATGGAGCTCAAGCTTCCCAGATGATAGTTGGGCTTCTCGGCCATGCTGGGCGGCGGCACCTCTCCCTCGCTGTTAGCTGCAAAATCAAAGCACAGATGAGAGAGCTGTCAATCAATATTCATCAGAGGAAGTCAAACCTTTGATAGTTCCCTTTTTGAGCCAGGACATTTTGTGGATTTGGGTCCAGGGCATCACTTGGCTATTTCCGGGTTTCAGCCAAAGGCTCAGCAATGTCACAGAGACGTTGTCCATGTTGCCATCAAGAGCGGGCATCAGAGTGCCCACAATGGTGGGACACAGTGCTCCATGGTAGTAGTCATGGGCTCCATAAAGAGCGCTGTACAGACCCGTGCCCAGCATCCTTGTGGAGTCGCAGCCAAAGAGAAAGACCACACTGCGCACACGGGCACGACAAATGGCACGTCCATTGATGTACTGCAGGCCAGAGCCATGACCAGCATAGCTATGGGCAGAAGGATTCGTTTAGGGAACAAAAATAGACACAAATCTCAGTCAAATCTCACACAAAACAATCGGCCAGATAGGCCTGTCGTAGCATCACCTCCTCCGTGGGCACCGTCTCGAACAGATGCTGCCAGTGGGAGAGCCAGTACTCGAAGAAGCTTTTCAGTCTCCTCCCGGAGTTGGGTAAATCCGCGCCAGGATTAATGACGCACATGCCACGCTTGATGCTGCGCGCGAAGTATCCATGCCGGATGCTCTCCTTGTGGTATTGATAGAGACGCCACAGACAGTGCAACGATTTGACGCGGGAAAACTCCTGGGCCGTTGCCAGCTGCTCCCAATGCAGATGATCCAGTCGCTGCGGGAGAACAGACAAGACAACAATAATTAATTGCAACACAGATTAGACGGACAACAGACAAACCTCATCGACCACCAGAATGGTGGGAAAACCCTTGGCCACCTGCACTTGGCGATCTTCCAGCGGCTGCCATTCGCTGGCGAATAGCCTGAGCATATCATAGACCATATGAATTTCATTCTCATTGCTGGTCATTTCGTAGGCAATGTGTTTCATGTTTGTAGAGGTTAGGCGGTTGGCATGCAGCGATGCCTGTGAGAGCAGAATGCGCTGATGATTGCTCCACTGACGGTCCACACAGAACTCGTCCACGCGGCTGAATACAGCCTTCGTTTGGCTGGCAACGGCGCTGCAGTCGTAGCGTTGGCCCAAAAATACGAAGGCATAGGGCGCCATGATGTCCCGAAAGTCGGAGAGAAGTTTCTGTAAAGGAATAAAAATGATTGCTGACTCCGTTCGCTGCCTGCCACTCACCTTCAGAAAGGCATCGAAGCTATTTAGCTCCTCCCAGTACTTCTGCTTGACCTCTTTGCTCTTTATATTCAGCGGATCGACGGTGACCACTCGCCTGAAACGCTCCACCAAGGTGCTGTACTGCTTGAAGATCTCCGCCAGGCCGCTGTTGCTGAAGCGCAGACAAATGGGTCCCAATTCGGGGCTGCGGCAGTGCCGCAGAAGCGACAAGTAGATGGCACCATCGGCGGCAGAGATCTCGTTGAAAACGGAGTAAGTGGTGGCCGGATTGAAGCTCTTGCAGAGATGCAGGACACACCATTCGGTGGGCAGGCCATTGCAGATGTCGTTGATGCGTGCCAGGCCAGCCACTGGATCGTCCACATCCTCCAGGAAGTCCAGGTGCTCGATGGCCTCTATACAGGGCGGCCTTTCGGGTTTTTCCCTCTCCTTTTTCTGCAGATATTTGATGATGTTCTGCAGGAATCGGTTGCTGTTTAGCAATTGTTGGGTTAGCCAATGAAGCTTCTATGTAGTGTCCCTTTGTGGGTGCCCACCTTTTGTAGTCTTTTTTCTCCTTGTCGCTGGCCACGCGCAGCAGGTCCTCGGTGCTGGGCCGTTGATTCTCCAGGTCCTCCGCCTCTGTAATGTATCGCAGGTCGGTGGACTGGAACTGTGCCTTCACCTGGTAGTAGATGGAATGCTCCACATTCCCATTGCGGTACTCCTCGTCCGCTCGCAGCAGATTGTATTCTGTGCGCGGGAAAATGTTCCAAAAGTAAAGCCATGAAAATTACTCAAGGAAAGTGCTGCTGTTCTACTTCCTTACCTTTCGCCTCGGGCCCCACATCTGCGCTGGTGATGCCTCGCAGCATGTTCTCCTCCGCCTCCGTCCCAAGCATGGCAATGGATTACCAATTTATTTAATTGT